TGTCGTCCGAGTCGTCTACGGGACAATGCATTCTCTATACGCGCCTCACACAGCTAGCCAGGGAGTTGTCAGTACACCACACTCTTGGCGGGGACTATGGCCTGAGGGATCCATTGAACACGTATTTACTATTTGGCAGCAATTGGGCGATTGATAGTTGATTGTTTTCTGAGCCAATACTGATATCTTTCCAATTCGGAAAAAAATATCAAATTCTATTTGTCAGATTCTCATTCTATATTTTTTTCTCTTTCTGAAATATAATCTTGTTTTAAGGTAATACGAAGTCCATTAGTTATTTTAATACATGAGATCGCACAATTGTATGTTAGAAATGATCTTCCTTGCCATTTACCTTTGAGTATTCTTAGTGTTATCCACGTGTCCCCTCCCTTCAGCGAAAATTGGAAAAAACAGAAATAACCCTGTTAATACTACGCGCAGTTGTTTTGACATAGCACATAAAGTTATCTTCGTTGTGAAGCATTTTTCCTGAGCCTTAAATAATGTAGTCAGAAAGTTTCCAAATTGGTACATATAAAAATAGAGACAAAAAGGAATATTATCTTGAAATTAAAGGGTCAAAATATGTGAATATTTGCTGCAAACTATTACAAAATGCACTGACGCAGAACACTAAGGTAGGTACCAAGAAAACAAATAATGGTGCTCAATTTTACCTTTTTTTTTATACAAAGTGAATATCGTCTGTATGTAAGAATTTAGAACACTATCATGCTTTGGCACTCGGTCTGTTTTATTTACATTCACTACGGATAACTGACAAGCACATATTACAGACGATAGCTGGTGTGCATAATATTTCTCTCACAAGATGTTATAATGTTCGAATTAGTACTGCACTGCATACTTTACTATCAGTGGTGCCATTATCACAGCTTATGACAACATAGGAACAGTCACCCAGTGGGGACGTAGTTTTAGTAGTTTTCCTTGCATGTGTTTTCAGACATCGTTGAAAATCTTTAAGCGAATAAAATTTTGACACAGTGCTATGTATCTGACTTAGGCTCGTGTAACTATTTCTCACTTTTGCATATTGTAATATTTCGTTGTCAAGCTTTGTACTAACGGCATCACATTTTCTTGTAAGTAATAATGATGAACACAAAGAAACACATTTATCTTATTTTTTTATTTTTATTTTTTTGCTCAGCAACGTCGAATGAAATCTTAGTGGGAATACACCTAACGTTAATAATATTTGGAAAACAAAATATAATAAATATGTCTGAATATGCAAAAGATACCACAAGAACCAGAATAACCCCGAAAAAAAGAAAAGAAAACGGGTAAAGATTGTGTTCCATACCCGGGAAAGGGCAGCCATCACACCGTAGATGTATCCTTGTGTGAAGATTTTAAAATTGGTACAAATTAATTTCCAAATTGGTACATTCTTACTGACTTATTTCTATTTCAGACGTCGGGGTAACGAATAAACGCTTTCTAAAATCGAAATCCCAGAACAAAGACGTTACTTACATCCGCACATTCTTCACCTACTCTTACTGTTAACAAGTAATGTCAATACTATGAAACTGGGCTCATGATGACGTCACAGGCTCTTCATTCCTATGGTGAAATGTTGCCGTCAGTTCTGACAATTTTTTATTGAAAAATTTTAAAAATAGAGAAAAAATGATAATTATGATGATGATTGGTACCAATAATGATGAAAAAAATAGTGAAAACGATGATCATGTTAATGATAATGATTATAGCACTACTGCTACTACCAATAATTCATAGCAATGATGATGATAATAGCAATGATAATTATAACAGTTGGTAATGGTGATAATAACGATAATGTTAATAATGATGAATGATAATAATAACGTTAAAGATAATAATAATAATGATAATAGCAGTAACAGCGATTTTGATAATAATAGTATTAACAGAAATCATAACGATTATGGTAATGAAAATGATGGTAATGATAGTAATGATAATAATAATGATGATGGTGATATAATAATAATAATAATAATAATAATAATAATAATAATAATAATGATAATAATAATAATAATAATAATAATAACAATAAAAATAATGATAATAAAAATAACAATGATGACAATATAAATGATAATGATAATGATGATAATAATAATAATGATAAAAAATAATAGTAACAATAAGAATGATAATGAGGATACTAATAATAACGGTAATAGTCAACAGAAAATGATCAAATATATAGTTAATGATAATGATAGTGATCCCAGCAGTGATAATGAAAGTATTGTTAACATATATAACAATAATCATATTAGTGATGATAATCATGATAATACTAATAAATAACAACTGAGCCTAAACTCATGGCATAAGCTTTCACGTGCAAAGACTGGGTCAAAGCGGAACAGCAACACCTTAGTGGTAATTGGTCAGTAAACATTTCTTCTCATGACCCACTCCTGTTCCCCATATATAAGGGCGTGAAGAAAGGTCCGGCATTCAGTTCCCA